ATTTTTATTAATACGGAGGAGATGGATTGTTTAAGTTTAGACTTTGGAGTTAGAGATATTAATATTTGTTTACTTGTATTTGAATATCAGCCTAGGTTGGTTTGGGAAGTCCGGGGGGTGGGGGGATGGGATATAACATTGTGTAATATCTGTGATGTATTTTTTCTTTTTTTATGATAAAAATAAAAATTTTATATTGGAAAAAAAAAAAAATTCTCCCAAAGAAAATACTTTTGTTTAAAGCTGTATTCTTCTTGGAAGGTTAATATTTTTTGGGTTTTTACTTATTATCACTAAGTAAAAATCCTGTTCATGTGTTCTCCTGAATGAATTGTGCTGAAACACAGAATGGAGACATGCATACCAATTGCCTTCCACCCTGGGTGGAAGAACTGTTTGTCCACTTACTTGAATATGATTGTGATTGGAGACTTGACCTTAATTATAGCCCTTACATGTTTGGGACAGTGCCTGAAAAATAATTTAGCATATGTAGAGAGTGTTTTGTGGTCATGAGCTCCAATTTGGAAGGAACATACAATCAGTAAATCTTGCTTAACTGAACTTGCTGTTCAGTATTTAAAATTCCTGTCCCTCTTTGACTCACAAATATGATCTCATTGTGTTTAGTATGGGAATGGGTAGACGTGCTATTATTATCTATGGTGGATGATTATTGCTCTTTTCCAAAAAAAAAAAAAAAAAGTAGTTTATATTGCTTTTTCTGGCTAAAAGCTATAGCTGTTTGTTCTTGGGAAGGGAATGAATTCCAGATAATGTTTCCCGAGGAAGATGTGGTTGCTATTAAATGCCCTTGTTCCAATTCCTCTGAAATTGGCTGGGTTCCTTTTGCTATGATAATTGGTACTTTACCGATTCTTGGCTTTGGTAATTAAGCTGCAGCATAAGCACTTTGCAATACTTCCTCAGGATAGAGCTGTGGTTTATAGAAGCATTAGCTATTGTTCAAATTATTGGTCATTAAATCATGTCCAGTTGGAATTGTACACTATCTCTTTTTACAAGAGACCTTTGAAGTATATGTTGCAAAACCAGATGCCTGATTATGGCAGACATAAATAAATCTAAAGGAAAGACTATAAAGCTAAGTAGATGTGTTCTTTCAGCAGTTCAGGGTATTTGTAGGTCAAGAACTCTTTCAAAATTTAAATTAATCTACTTCGAGCCATATATTCTAGATTTATGTTTGATCCTGGAGGTATGTCTAAAAGGTATTGATTTCAGTTCTGCAGCCAAGAGGAATTGTTTTCCATATAAATTCAGCCTATGTGCATGCTATTTGATAGCCTGTTGGATATCTGATGTCCAGTTTATTGAGAGTTTATCTGGTCCATATGACTCCCTGGCCCTTTGGTCAATAGCGCCAATCTCTTGGTTCTTTTCCTATCTATATGGCATCACTGGAACAAAGCAAATTAAGGAGAAATAAACCTCTAAAATGACTTGAAAATAGACATCTAAACCCAAGGGAAAAATAATAATGAAATTAGCTCGGCATGAAATTGCTGTTTCCTTTTCTGCACAATTCTATGTTTTCTCACAGTTTAGTCCCAATGTGTCTAAGAGGTTTGTTTGTTTATTAAGTAAATGTGTTAAGGATTTCAACCTTCAGCTAGTATATGCTATGAGCACATCAAAAGGCTCTTTTCTCTGGGTCCTGCTGAGAGTCAATAGCTGACTAATTTGCAAAGAACTGCCCTCATTGTTTTTGCTTTGTAGTGGTTTTTCCTTCTCCCTAGTTCTTAGCAGGTTCTAATCTCCTTAGGTTGTTCATTTGTAGAGTTTGGGTAGTGCTCTAACTGTGGAACTAGCATCAGGGAGACTCAGAATCATGTCCACCCTCAGTTATAGAAGCTCCCTGGATGACCTTGGACCAATTTCAGAGCAACCTACTCCATATGATTGCTGTGGGGAAAAATGGGAATGATTGCTATATATGTTGTTTGGTACTCTTGAAGGCGTGGCAAGGCGTAAGTATTGAAATTCAAAGGATTCACAAAATGATAAGAACCACTGTAGTGTAGAAGTAACATACAAAAGAAATGGAATCTTTGGAGTAGGAGTAGAGAATCTGTGTCCTACAGATGTCACAGAAATTTTATTTCTGACATTTCTTAGCTTTGATTATGCTGACCAAATGTACAAGAGATAGCTGAGTTTTAAAAAATTAATAGACTTTAGTCAAGTTATAGCCTTGATACAGCAATCTGACCACTGTTTTAAACAAGTATCACTTCAAGTAAAAAATGGCATAGCCTTTTTCATCTTAGCATTCTCCAAGTGCATGGGGCTTGCAAATCCCAAATTTTAACTAAGTAGAATTCCAAACATATATGGGAACTACCAGGTTGCAAAAGGTTACTGTGCCATTCATAGAGACAAGTATAAGACTGATAAACTTAACCATATCTCTTTAACAATGGAAATCTTGGCTAGGGATTATATATACAGTAGATTCATAAAGGTATTTTTGTATGAAGAATACAGAGATGTATAGTAGATATACATTTCCACCCCAGGCCACCCCAATGATGCCCTTGACGTGATGGCCCGGTGTCTGGAGGCCGTACGGGTCTGGATGGGGAGAAACAGACTCAGGCTCAACCCTTCCAAGACTGAGTGGCTGTGGTTGCCGGCTCCCAGGCATAGTCAGCTGACTCCGTCGCTGACTATAGGGGGCGAAATTCTGGCCCCCTCAGAGA